AGTGTACAGGTTCCTGTACAAACAATGTTCTCCCAGCCTCCGTCGCAGGTCGTCGTAAGCGGGCAGTCTGCTGTCTCGCAGCCTGCACAGTCGCAGGGTACACAGCCCCAGCAGCAGCTAGTGCAGCAGCCTGCACCACAGGGTCCACAACCCGGAATGGTGCAGGTACCGAGACAAAGTCAGTGGGTTCCAAAGACGGCCATCGCTGCTCCTAAACCCTTTACAGGGGATAAGAGGGGCGAATACCTCGACACATGGTTGAGGGCAGTGCCAGTCTATGTTAAGTGTAAACTTACCTTGCCACACGAGGAAGTGCTTGTGGCTGCCTCCTATCTAGAGGGGAGTGAATCAAGATGGTTGAGCGGTTTAGTGCAGTTACAGGGATACGGTCATGACTTCCACGCTTGGGCAGTCAACCAGAAATTGGATGACTTCCTAAAGATGACTGCCTCAAGATGGTGAACACAAGTGGCATGATCCTCAGGAGGCCCAAAAGGCCACTGATGCGATCCTGACTCTGCATACTAGGCAGTTTAAGTCAGTAAGGGAAGCCACAAACACAGTAGAGCGTCTGAACTGTGTCCCTGGGGTGCGCTATGACCCCCAGGTTTACTCACCTCCTACCTGAGATGCTTTCCTATGCCTCTCAGGAACCAGTTGGTAGGTGAGGTCAACATCAACATGCACAACTTCCCCTCGTTTAGCAAGGAGGCCCTAGACCTGGAAGCAAAGATAGGGCATGGTCAGACACCCACGACGGATGGTAGGAAAAAATCACTGCCTCCCAACTGGAAAGCGACGGGACCCATCATGTTCGTCAACAACGATGGTTCCACCATCGAGTTGGACGACGACTTCTAGGCGGGAGTGGGTTTAGAGGCTGACAGCGTAGAAGCTTCAGGGGTGGAGTAGTCGTTGCCGTAACTCAAAAGGTAAGGCGGTCGGTAGATGCCATGGAGGTTCCGGTCTAGGAATCAAGTTGACCCCAATGCCCCTCCATGGGAGAAAGCGGGTCTCAGTGAGGACGTGTGGAGAGATCGGTACACGCGGCAGGCTTGTATCCGTTGTGGCCAATACAGCCATAACCAGTTCAAGTGCCAAAACAAGAAGGTGACTGAAAAGATCCCGCCTACGATGGGGCAGGTGTTGAGATCCTCCGCTCCCGTTGGCAGCAATGTGGCCAGCAGTTCTGGCACTGCTCCGGGAAACGCGTCGGGCCAGTAGGAATAGTAGGTGTTCCTGCTAGGGTCGAGGTGGTGGACACACCCTCACCATCTCGAGAGATGGCCCAAGCTACTGACTCCATCGTCGTCCCGCAGACACATTCAGACCCATCGAGCCTTTGTTCGACGAATGTGTTTGAATCCTTAGAGGAGCTAGAGGAGGAGTGGTCTAGATCAGACCCCCTAGCTTCTTGGACGACATTAGTTAAAGCCCCTAAGGGAGAGATGTTCGTCGGCGAGGTAGTTATCGACGGCCGTAAGGCCGGGGCCTATTATGACACTTGCTTGAAGTTCCGACCGGGGCCTATTATGACACTTGCTCGACGAGGAACGTCATTAGTCGCGCGTGCATTGAGAGACTGCGGTTACAGGGGCAAGTGCAGCGCCCGAGTCGACCTGTGGAGTCGACCTGTGCCAACAAATAGCGCATGGTAGTCAACGACTACCTACAAGGCATTGAGTGTCTTTTCTCGTACGCGGCAGGGGAACTGAGACATCGCGTCTCGTTCACCGCAAGCGGTTAACAGGGACCCCCACTTTTCAGCCCTGGTTAACCCCTTCAACCCTGAAAAGTGCATTGGAGATCATTTTTTTTAGTTTTTTCTGATTTTGTTTTTTTGCCCTGTTCTATTTTTGGTCAAGGTTTGTGTGTGTCTTTACAAACCTATAAAACAGCAAGGCAAAAATGTGTTTTTATGCAAAATTCGGTCATTTTAGTTTTCAGGATTTTCAAGACTTTTAGGGCTAGCCAAAACAGTCAACTCCAAGACCCCAACAAACACCAAACTTGACACACACAGACCTTGACCAAAAATAGAACAGGGCAAAAAAAACAAAATCAGAAAAAACTAAAAAAAATGATCTCCAATGCACTTTTCAGGGTTGAAGGGGTTAACCAGGGCTGAAAAGTGGGGTTCCCTGTTAACCGTTTGCGGAGAGCCGGTTAACGGAGGCCTCAATTTTCAGACCACTTGTCAGACCATTTATAACAAAAGCCAAAGGTCATTTTAACCAAACTTGCCACCAATTCATAGAGTGGAGATCAGACTAACTACTTAAAAAAAAAATTTGAAAAAAAACCTTTACAAACCTATAAAACAGCAAGGCAAAAATGTGTTTTTATGCAAAATTCGCTCATTTTAGTTTTCAGGATTTTCAAGATTTTCAGGGCTAGCCAAAACAGTCAACTCCAATTTGGTTAAAATGACATTTGGGTTTTGTTATAAATGGTCTGACAAGTGGTCTGAAAATTGAGGCCTCCGTTAACCGGCTCTCCTAGTAAGCGATGATCTCCCTATGGATATCTTGTTAGGTATGTACTACCTCTCTGTTGCACAACCCCACTTTGACTGGGACCGAAAAGTGGTCGATCACATTTTGCCAGGTGGAGGGACCGCCAGATTACGTAAGTTTAAGGCTAGTAGTCTGATCGAGTCCTATGGATGCATGTGTGCCGCCGCGTTTTACAACTATTATAAGCAAAATCTGGAGGAGGGTATGTATCTAGTTTATGTCTCTACTGCAGGCGAGCCGGTGAAAATGCTGTCGGAGATAGAGGGAGTAGTTGCTAAGTACCGTGATCTGTTTGAAGAGCCGGCAGGGGTTGTCGAGAGGGAGGTCGTCCACGCGATAAAGATTATCCCAAGGTCTAGCATCCCGAAGGGTAGGATCTATCGGATGTCTTCAGGCGAGCTTGACGAGCTTTGCCGGCAGCTCAAGGAACTCGTAGAGAAGGGATGGATCCGGCCGAGTGTCTCCCCATACGGATCATCAGTTTTATTTGCACCGAAGAAGGGGGGTACCTTGAGGATGTGCATTGACTATAGGGGCCTCAATGCCATCACTGTGAAGAACCGAGAGCCCCTACCGCGTATCGACAATTTGTTAGATAGAGTGCAAGGGTGTCGGTACTTCAGTAAGATAGATCTGAAGTTCGGGTACCATCAGATTGCAATCCGGCCCGATGATCAACAGGAAACCGCATTTCAGACCAGGTACGGTCTGTACGAGTTTGTGGTGATGCCTTTCGACCTTTGCAATGCTCCTGGCACCTTTCAGCACGCTATGAATACGATATTTCATGACTACTTAGATAAGTTTGTCATCGTGTACCTCGATGACGTACTTATTTTTAGTACGACGGTCGAGGAGCATGTTGAGCACTTAGACAAAGTCCTCAGTCTCCTCCGGCAGCACAAGTTCAAGATCAACGGGGAGAAATGCGAGTTTGGTCACACTCGGATCTTGTGCTTGGATCATGAGATTTTCGCGGAGGGTTTGAAGCCTGATGACGCGAAGGTGGCCAGCATTCGTGCCTGGCCGCGTCCTCAGTCTATGACTGAGATGAGGTCTTTCTTAGATATGACCGGCTACTACCGTAACTTTGTTAAGAACTATAGCATAGTGGCCGCTCCTTTGACTGACCTGACCCGCCTTGACACCCCATGGGAGTGGACAGACAAGTGTGAGGCTGCTCTCAGACATCTGAAGCATGCGTTGACGCATCATGAGGTTTTGAAACTTCCTGATCCTGACAAGCCGTTCATAGTAACCACGGATGCCAGCCAATATGACATTGGTGCCGTGCTAGTGCAACAGGAGGGGCCAAAGTTGAGGCCAGTGGAATACATGTCCAAAAAGATGCCCTCTGAAAAGTTGGCTAAGTCCACCTATGAGAAGGAGTTGTACGCGATCTATAAAGCGCTAACCCATTGGAGTTATTATCTCCTTGGGAGGTTCTTCATCGTTAGGACTGACCATCAGACCCTGAAGTTGATGAGAACTCAGCTTGTGCTCTCCGATGCACTGAAACGCTCGATGGAAGTTATTCAGCAGAATGACTTCGAACCATACTTGTGGCGCATGGGCCCTGTGCGCTGCGCGGGCTCGAGGTGCGCGCGCACCTGCACGCGCCCCGCACCCGGGTGCGCGGTGCGCTGCGCAGAGGGCCGGTGCGCTGGGGGGTCCACCCTGGCGGGGCGCAGGTGCGCCGGGTGCGCACACCGTTTATTTTTTATGTTTTATTTTAATCTTTCTTTGGAGACACACACACACACACACACACACACACACACACAGGCACACACACACACAGGCACACACACACACATACACACACACACACACACACACACAGTGTCACACACACGCTCTCTCTCTCTGCATGATTGTTTTTCTTTTTTCCAATGTTTGTTGGAGAACTTGGAGAACACACACACACTCACAAACACAGTCACAAACTCTCTGCAGGATTGTTTTTTTTTTTTTTTTTTTTTAATT